GAGAGCAGAATTTTGCAAAAGATAAATAAAAATTTGATCAATCTATGTCTTCCTTAAGATGACTTATAGATGATCATTGTGCGATAACTTGCATAGTAATTGAAGAGAAAATATACAAGCTTAAACCAATGAATGGTGAGCCTATTCAATCAAGATTATTATCAGTACAAGGTACATCATGTTGAAATATTGTTATCAAATGAATTTCAAAAGTAATATTCGAACAATTTTAATTATGTAATTTTTTTAATATATCAAGTATTCAATTTGATAAAAGTTTTTTTTAATATGTCACAACACATAATTTAAGTGTCTCTTATTGGTTCAAAATATTTCATGTTTTAAAATTTGTCTTCTTTCTAAGAAATTGTAGCCTCCATCTTTTTATAATCACATACAGATAAAGAAGTTGTTGTCGAATATGAATTGTGTTATGTAAAAATTGCACATAAATTAGATCAACCTATACCTTTCTTATGATAGCTAGTGGATCATTGTCAATTTTATGGTGTACACCTACAAAAAAATAGTTATTATTAGTGATAAAAATAATAATTGCTAAAATATCTAATCTATGTATATAAATCAGAATTGTTATAGGTACGTGTACACTTTGCCTAATTCAAAATTATTAGTTCTATCATCTGTGAATTTAACAAAATAATATTAGTTAAATTATGTAAATTGATTCCTAACCAAAATTTACACAAACAAGAATATATAGTTTTATGATACTCCAAAAAGTTATAATTAAAAAGAAAGTAAGCTTACCTGATTTGATATTTGCATGACAAATTTCTATGTTGCAAGAGGTGAAATAACTATGATACACACATTTACCTACCCAAGTAAGATGAACTTTCAACTAATCAGAAAGCATATATAAATAAGTCAAATTAAAGACAATAACTTATAATGTGAATAGAAAAAATAGAGAGCATAAACAGAAGTAGAAAAGAGAGACACAAACACAAAATAAATATGAGAAAATGTGCCTACACAAAGTAGGATTGATAATCCTAATAATTTGGATGAATTGAGATAGTTGTCTTGTGATTTTTCACTATCTATACACAATATATAGAATTTAGTAAATGAATATATTGTATTGAATTGATCAAAAGAATTTACTCCACATTGAATATACCAAACAACTTTTCAAATTCTCCATATGTTTATTACTACGAAGAGATGTTTTACTTTTTGCATTAGGAATCGGAAGATAAAACATTTACAGAAATTGAATACACATAACTCCATGTCTTTTGATTTATCTAGTTCATTCATTTCCTATATTATTATTTATATTTATTATAAGATAGACTTACTTTTTTAGCAAAACAATATAACATAAATAGGAGTTAAATAAATGACAAAATATTAAGGGAAAAGGGTCAAAAATACCCTTCAACTTTGTTTTATTGGTTGACTAAGCCCTTGCCGTTAAAATGAAGATAGTTTTACCCCTACCATTACTAATATCACCATATGTACAACATATATATATATAAAACAAATAATCATGCATCCAAAAATAACATTCTATTTTCTTAGAGAATTCTTTTTCCTTTTAAAAGCTAATACAATAACAACCTGCCTCAATTCTCAAATGGAGTATCTATTTTGTTCAAGTTTGACATGTTTTGCTCTACCCCTCAATAAGTAATTTATTTTTTGATAAATTACGTATTTTATTAAATTAAGAGATTTTGTAAAAGTATTATAACTTATCATAAATTTTTATGTATATAAGATTATAATAATCCATCATTATTTTCATTTAAATAACTATATAATGCTTTTTCTTATTAAAATTGGAAATATTTTTATTTCTTATAATATTTTATAAATTGAAGAGATAAGCATTTGTTAATACAATTCTTGTTTTTAAAGTTAAGATATAACAATCATAATGTCATAAAATACGAAAATTTATTGAATTTCTTCAAATCACAAAATATCTTTAAAATATTAATTTTTTTTACAGTTATATAATTTTTTTTTTTAAAAGTTAAAATGTTCTTTAAAAAAAATATTTTATTAGAAAAATAATGTGTTTAAAAGGTAAAAAGATAATGTTTATCAGAAAAGAAGAAGAAGATATTTGTCACCAAATAGTAATAATAATATCATTTACTATTAACGATAATGACATTTTTGGATAAAAAAAATTGATGCCGGAGACATTTTTAAGCCATCTAGTCATAATATTTAACATATTTAGTCAAAACAACAATACTTTAAAAAATTTATTTAAAATGTCAGAATGTCAATATTTTCAAAAATAATTTGTATTCATATTTTATTATTTATATTTCCTTTTATTAATCAAAAGAGTCCATCATTGGACCAAAATTCTAACCAATAACATATTAAAAATAAAAAACAAATACAAAATTATCCATTAATATTCTTCCCACATCTTACACGTTAATTTCCCACCTTTCACGTTTCTAACTTAAAGTTTTTATTTTTCTCCACCTCTCACGTTCCCAGATTCTCTTTTTTCAAGTTTTTTGCTTAACCTTGAAACACAAATTATTCAAAGTTCAATTCTTCAACAAAATCTTTGTATTAATTCAAGAAATTTCTCGGTTGGTAAACAAAATCTATATATTAATTCAAGAAAATTTGAATTTGGTAAAGGTAATTTCGATTAGTTATTTAGATTTCTTTTGATTTGTTTTCAATATCACCGTTTATGGTTTATATTTTGCATTGTACATATTACGAATTTTCCGTCAATTTTTTTGATTTTTATGCAAGTGTGCTTACATATTCATCTAATATTTATGTATTTCAATTAGTTATTTAGATTTCTTTTGATTCGTTTTCAATATCACCATTTATGATTTATATTTCGCATTTGTACATATTACAAATTTTTCGTTAATTTTTTTGATTTTTATGCAAGTTTGTTTACATATTCATGTAAAATTTATGTATTTTAGATTTTTAGTCGATTAAACAATTTTTTTCCGATTTTTTTCTTGATTTCGTTTTAATATTTCAGATTTATTAGAACCTACAAATTCATTCATATGTTTATTTTGTTTGATTTTTTAATTACATTTATATTTGCTTTTAGGGTTTTAGATTTGGGGAAAACATATGTATGTCTATAATGTCTGAATCAACAGTTTATTTGTGTATTCATTATATCTATATATCAACAAGTTTTACATTTTTT